CCCGCAACCACACCCCGCGCCCTCGGCCTTTCACCTGCCGAGCGCCTGGCCGTGTCCTGCCGCCCGACCCAATAAAGTGAAAAGTCCACCTGCCTCGGTCCCACCGGTTATTGGAATGCGCGCCGATAGCTCCCCCAGCCGGCGATTCGCCCGCAGTCCCGTCGGGTCGGCCTCTCCGCGCCTGCGCACGCCCCAGCTAAAGCGGGCTGGACCTGCCTCGTAGTGGGCAGGGCAGGTCCGCGTAGGGGCGGGGCATGAGTACGTAAAGGCGGGGCGGCCCACGTATGGACGGAACGCACTCATGTAGGGGCGGGGCTGACACACGTAGCGGGTAGAGTATTTCTACGTAGGGGCGGGACTGGCTCACCTAGGGCGGGGCTGGGTCCCATAGGGGCGGGGCATCCTCGCCTAGGAGGCAGGACACGTCACGTGGGCCACTGAAGCCCTCCTGTAGGGGCGGGCCCGATTCCTATTGGGGCGGGGCTGGGGCGGCTGGGCGCGAGCAGCGTGCGTCGGTGCTGGGCGGGGCGTCGGGCGTGCTGGCGTCCGGTTCGTTCGTCGGTGGGCGGTGCGCTCATAGCCCGGGAAAGGCGGGAAATGGCGGCGCCAAGTGCTGCGTTCCCGCCAGCCCTCTCGTCGAGGGAGCTGGTGGCCGCTGACAGGGGCCGTAGGTGAGTGGGGAAGGGGTACAGGATCCTCGGTGGGGCCCAGGCGTGCGGGCCTGGCGTCCCCTCCCCTGTGGATCCCGGCGCCGGCCGCGCTTCCTGTCGATGGCGGGAGGCCCTGAGGGGCGCAGGGTCCTCTAGCGTGGCCCCCTCCCCCGAGCCGCGGGCCCTCTGCAGCCCCGCTCGTCTCGGCTCCTCCTCGGCTTCTCGGCCCTTCCCCGGCTCCCCGGCGAGTCCCCGGACCGCAGTGTTGGGCGTGCGGATTGTGTTGAGGGTGGCTTGAGCCGCTGCTTGTCGTGGTGTGGCGGTGTTTTCAGAGCGCCTGCCCAGCTTCGCGGTTTGCGCATCTTGAGGAGACGAGGGGGCTGGCGTCGGGGTCTCTGTCCCGTCAGCCATTTCGCGGCCGAAGTCGCCCAGCGTACCGCTTCCGTGCCCCGGGTCCAAACCCCGAGTGCACGGGAGCCCGCGGAAGTGCGCCGAGCCGGGGCTGCACGGCCCGGGTCCTGGCCGCTGCCCGTCCGCTCCTTCCAGAAGCGTCCCGAGGTCCTTGGAAAATCCACCCTGTGAGGGCTGGAAGGCCCGGCGTGTGCACTGTGGCTGACGCTTCAGAAACTTTTTATTGTGGTTCAGGAGCAAATCTACGTAACAGATTAGTTTTCCATCGACGACTTGGGCACGTTTGGTTCCGTGACCCTGGCTCGCTGGGTTCTTAGCCGCCGTCGGCCGGCTCCTGCCTTGGTTCTCAGCTGGGCTTTGGGGCAGATGCTCGCGCGCTTGGTCCCTGGAGGAGCGTGGTCCTCACGGTGTCCCTCGTTTTGTAGGCCTGTCTATTGTTTGGCTGACAGACGATCCCCGAGTGTGTGGGGGGGGACGCTGGTGAGCTTTTGAGCTCCACGTGGGTCTGCAGGGGCAGACGGCACCGAGCTGGCAGAGGTGGTCTGCGGGGGAGACAGGAGGACGGGACTGGAGCCCTGAGGCCTGCCCCCGTTAAGGGCCAGCCGGAGGTGCTGGGAAGGGCTCGGGCGCTGGAGGCGGGGAGGCGGGGAGCTGGAGAGCATGGCGAAGTTCCAGGGAGGACCCCGCGCCGACCGACCGCCCCACCTCGGCTGGACGGCTGCTGTGCGCCAGCTGCGACGTGAGCTTGGGATTGGCCTGGAAACACTGGTTTTTACCGGAGTTCATGTGGTTTACCGTATGTGGTCATGCTGCTTTGCTGAGTTCCACGGTGACCCTTAAACGGAGTTTCAGCCCGTTTCTCCCAGGGCGTTGGAACAGCAGGAGTGCTAACAATAGGACAGAGGGGGAGATGGAGTCTCCCACTCTCCCATGCAGCATCTTCAGGCCCTGCTTGGGATCGCACCTGTGTCTCTGGGGGTCTCAAGACCCTGCTTTCCCTCCCTCTCAACTGTAGGAGCCCTGACCCAGACCAAGGCCAAGTGGATCCTGTGGTTGTGGGCATTTCAATTCCGCGGTGCCCTCCCCCGCCCCACTCCCACTTTGACATCTTTGAAACCAGGATGTGGTTTTCAGCAGTAGTTAAGTTATAAACAAGCTTTCACCAGCCTGTTCTTTGGTGTCATCAGGCCCCCATTGTCTCCCGTGTTTGGAAATTGACAAGCAGGCTGCCCAGCTCAGGATTTGCTTTCCAGACTAGCCACAGAGGTGATATACACTGGACCCCGGGTCTTCATTGGTAACCCAGGCAATAATGAGACTAAAGTAATCTTAGCCATTGAGGCATCCCTGGTAACCAGTTACCACACCCAGCTTCAACTCTAGGCGGTTTCAGGTGAAGCTGACTGTGCTACTTGTCCAGTTCTCACAGGACTCTGATTATTTCCATGGTGCCATTTCTGTCACGGGGACATAGTTTTGTAAAAATACAGAGAAAAAGACTTTACATTGGTAAAAGTAAGCTACAGAGCGTGTGTATGTGTGTGTCTGTCTGATTTTATTAAAACTGCCTACTGGTTTGCATTTCTCTACCATATCGTCGTTTTAAACTTAGCATCATTCTCAGCAGCCTGAGTGATTAATGTGGAATGCTTTCTGGAATGATTCTCTTAATTAAAATTGATCATCCTCCCAGGACTATGTCTTCTTATCAGTGTATGTGTGTGAGCGTGTGTCAGCCCAGCCGTCTCAAAAGGCGGTCCCAGCTGACGATTCCATGAAGACGCACATACGGGCCCCGTGTAGTGGTGTGTTTCTGCCTGGCACTCTCCCAAAGTCCGCAGAGCTTGCTGCGCCCTGTCTTTGTTCTGCCTGCACCTTCCTGTCCCACCGGAGAGCCTGGCAGCCAGTCCTCTGCCCTCCCTCCCTCAGCAGGATGCTGGGCATGTGTGGCATGCATCCCGACCACCAGGAAGCTCTGAAGAGGAACCGCGTGGTGCTGGCCAAACAGCTGCTGCTGAGCGAGCTGCTGGAGCACCTCCTGGAGAAGGACATCATCACCTTGGAGATGCGGGAGCTCATTCAGGTGCGCAGCGGCCAGGGCAAGGCAGGACAGAGGACAGCTCGGCCGCAGGGGTGGGGACAGCGGGCGGATGCCGGGCTGGGTCAGGAACAGCTCCCAGGGCTGTTGAGCAGCAAGAAGGCACGTCAGGAGCGATGGGACGGCTTGGCTAAGTGCCCGGTGGGAGGCTCCTGGGGGGAGCGCCCAGCTAGATGAGTGACGGTGACCTCGTGCCTTCTTCCTTTGTCTAGGCCCGGGCGGGCAGTTTCAACCAGAACGTGGAACTCCTCAACCTGCTGCCCAAGCGGGGCCCCCGGGCCTTTGAAGCCTTCTGTGCAGCCCTGAGGGAGACGAAGCAGGCCCACCTGGAGGACCTGCTGATTGTAACCCTCTCTGGTCTCCAGCACGTCCCCCCACCGGTATGGAGCCTGGGCCAAATGTGTGTTAAAGAGGGAGAGGGGGTCTTGAGCCAGGGAAGTGAGATGGTTTCCCTGCGCTGGCCCACCTCCCTGAGCCTGGTGGGTGCTGGTCTCTTATAGCTGAGCTGTGACTATGACCTGGGTCTCCCGCTTCCGGTGTGTGAGTCCTGCCCTCCGCTCAAGCAGCTCCGCCTGTCTGCAGGTGAGTGTTGGCCTCACAGGTGGCCTGCCCTCTCTGTACCTGGGTCTGCTTTGCCCTCATGCGACTCTGCTCCATCCCATTGGAAACGCCTCTCTGGGCATGTACTAGGTTCTGGCAGGACAGCGTAGACAGGGTGGTGGTTGGGCCTGCTGTCCTTGCATGCCAGGTGGTGTTGCCACGGCATCCCTGTGCCTGATAGGCCTGTTGTCTGTACAGCCAAGCTGTTTTAGAATGAGAGGAAGGCTGTGTCTTGGCCACTAGCCTGATTGAGTAGCTTTGTGGTTAGAACAAGGCTTTTACTACCTATCCTGTTGGTCATCCCCTGCATTGAGCACCTACAGTGTGCAGGCCAGGTGCAGAGGATTCACTGGTGAGCAAAACAGCCAGATCTCTGCCCTTGTGGGACTTGCGGGTGGCGGGGACAGGACGAGACTGACCAGAACCCCAGTTCCCGGGGTCTGCAGTCATGATGCAGAGCTGGGTGTGGTGCTTGGACTTGACTCTGGCGTGTTGGCTTTGTTGCACAGACGCTGTGGAGCACTCCTTGGACAGTGGAGATGGCCCGGCCTGCTTGCAGGTGAAGCCATGCACCCCTGAGTTTTATCAGACACATTGCCAGAAGGTGAGTTGGTGAACAGCAGGCCGGAGGGCTAGGGGCTGTGGGCCCCTCTGCCTGTACGCTCCTCCTGCTTCTGAGTTGGGGTGAGGAAGAAAGATGCTGCGTCTCAGTTTCCTCCAAGTTTTTGCTGTTGGGGGTGGCGGAGGGAGGCTGCTCTGTCCTCAGGAAGTATGTGGTCTCACCGCCCCTTCTCTCCCCAGGCCTATAGGATGGAGGCACGGACTCGCGGGCTGGCCCTGGTGCTGAGCAACGTGCGTTTCACTGGAGAGAAGGACCTGGAGTTCCGCTCTGGAGGCAGCGTGGACCACAGCACGCTGGTCACCCTGTTCACACTGCTGGGCTACAACGTGCACGTGCTGCACGATCAGACCGCACAGGTAGCCGGGCAGGGAGCCCCTGGCGGCCTGAGCCAGCTGGGGTGTCCGGCAGCAGTCCCCTCCCCTCCCCTCCCCTCCCCTCCCCACCCACCCCTCTGGCCTGCCCCCACCGTGTGGGCCAGTGACACAGAGCAAAGCCAGCTAGCTTCCTGCATGCTGCTCCCAGGGCACCGGCCTCCACGGGGCAGCCACGCGCAGGGCTCGGCCCCCCACCTACGTGTGAGTGTGAGACTGTCTCCCGCTGCTCGGGGTGATGCAGTGCGGCGCTGAGATCCCAAGCACCTTGAGCCAGCGGGGTGGGGTCTTCTGCTTGGTTGATGGTGTTCCTAGGGGCCAGGTTACTGTGAGCACACAGCTTGGGCAGATCCGTTCCACAGCTGACAGGGTGTCGGGTGATCCTTGTGAGCATCACCCTGGCCGTCTGATGAGTTAGCACGTGCGGCACAGTCTTGTCTGGCGGTGGTTACATCTGGAGGAGGTTTCTGCATGCCATGTGTTTTTATCATGTGACTCCCGGGCAGCCTGCACAGCTGACTTTGTTACCTTGGGACAGGTCTTGTTTTCCTCAGTAACAGTCTGAGAATAAGTTCATATTAGCTCTTTGAGTCCAGCAAGACGGGGCTTCACTGAACTTGCCTTTGGGTTGTCAGTGGTAACGTGGAAAAGGCAGGGGCTCGCCCTTGCTCTGTTGAGATGGGGGCTTGGCTTTGCGTGTAGCTCTGTTGTGGTGCTCAGCGAGGCTTCTCAGCCATCCAGTCTCAGCTGGGAGCAGGGAGAGGCTGGATGCCAGAGATGGCGGAACATAGCCCTTTCCGAACTGTGTCTGCCAGCTTCCCATAGAAGCGCACACAAAGTGATAACACCTCCCCACACACGCTGGCCTCAGCCTGACGGGGTCAGCTTCTTCAGCCTCACGGTACAGCAGGCTACACTTTCCCAAGGGTGCAGGGGGAGTGAGGCAGGGCTGCTCTCATCAGGTGGTGTCAGTCGATCTGACTCACAGGGACCCCGTGTGACAGAGCTGTCCTGTAGGGCTTATTGGGTTTTAATCTTTATGGGAGCAGGTCATCAAGCCTTTCTTCTATAGAGCCACTGGGTGGGTTTGAACTACCAGCTTTTCTGTTGGCAGCTGAGCCACCAGGACTCCTTAAGGGCAGGGCGTCTCCCAGTAGTCCTGCAAGGGGAGTCCTGTTAGAGGGTCCCTTAGTGTAGACGTATGCGTGTTTTCTTAAGTTTTGCTGTAGCCATGTGTTTTATCAGGAGTTATTTTGTCATGGTTTTCAGGATCCAGGGAGTTGCTAAAAGACCCTGCATTTGTGATAGTCAGAGGTGCAACGCTGAGTCACCATGTCAGCCACGTGCTGTGTTAGCAGAGACGCCCCATAGGCGTGGCGGCCGTGGCCTACTACTCCCTCACCATCCGGTTTGTGCTGCACCTGCTGCAGGTGTGCTGATGGGCTCCTAACGCTCCGGCTCATTTCTTGGTGACACGTGGTGGTAGAGTTAACCGTGAGTGCTGCGTGGGGTCTGCTGGGCTGGCGACCAGACATGCAGAATGCAGACCTTATTTTCAGGGGACTTCAGTTAGACGTGGGGGTCTTGACATCAGAAGAAAAAGAAACATACCCTTTCCTGTTCTTAAAGGGCCAGGGAGATGAAAGACAGTGTTGGTCAGAGGGAGAAGTGGCCACCTGCCCTGGTGGGAATTGAGCGGCTTTGGTGGACGGATGGACGATGCTGCTGCAACCGAGAGGAGTCCTGGAGATGGCCTGGGCAGCAGGCAGCGTGTGGACAAGAGGTGTGCGTGCCGTGTGAAGGGCTGCCCAGGGCAAGGGAGCCCCATAGGTACGGGACCAGCCTGCACATGGCTTGGGTGTCTGCCTGGATTTGGCTTCCCTGGCTCTGACGTTGGGTCCTGTGAGCAGAGGAGACGTGTATGCAGTACTGACCGGGAGAGTTAGTGAGACTGCATTAGCAGGTGTGACAGCAGCACAGAGTCCCATGTGGAGACAAACCTGATGCAGATGTGGGACAGGAGGCTAAAGGGAGGAGCGGATATGAATGAGTGGTGGCTGGGGGAACAAGGGCCTGCTTGCGGAGGGGATGTGTGTGGGAACGAGGACCCCAGGACAGGACTAAAGATGTAAACTTGAGGTTTTTCCAACGTAGGAGCTCAATTTAGATGGCGGAGGGACCGTGAGCCCTCAGGGGAGGGTGAGAGGACTGGGAGTGGGGCTTGGGCCTGGACCCTGGGTTCCAGCCTCCCTGGTGAGGCCCCCCATAGTGTTCTCAGTCTGGGGTTCACCGAAGACTGCAGCATCAGTGCCCATGGCGGCCATCAGACTCCAGGTGGGGAGACTCGGAGCGAGAGTAGGTGCACAAGAGTCTGACGGGCCCACCGGGATGCAGCCCTTCCCACCATCCTGTGACAGATTGGTGAACAGCGGAGCCAAACCCAAAGCCAAGGTCATCTATTTTCCTCTCCTATCAGACCTATCAGGAGCTCTGGTGGCATAGTGCCTAAGGTATTTGACTGCTAACCAGAAGGCTGGCAGTTCAAACCCTCCAGCCACTCCTCAGAAGGAAGGTTGGGCAATCTACCTCCGTAGTGATACTGCCTCGGAAACATGAGTCAGAATCAATTTTTGATGGCAGTGAGTTTGGTTTGTCCTTTTTTGAACAGACCTTTTAAGGAGCCCTGGTGGCTCAGTGATTAAGGCATTCAGCTGCTAACCAAGAAGATGATGGTTCAAACCCACCAGCTGCTCCATGCCAGAAAGATGAGGCAGTCTTCTTCCATAAAGATGACAGCCTTGGAAACCTTGTGGGGCAGTTCCACTCTGTCCTCTAGGGGCACTGTGAGTTGGAGTTGACTCCAAGGTGGTGGGTGTGGTTTGGGCTTTTCTTCCCTGAAGATTGACAGCCTTGGA